TATAGATATAGATATAGATATAGATATAGATATAGATATAGATATAGATATAGATATAGATATAGATATAGATATAGATATAGATAGATATATTGCCTACCCAACACTAGGAGTATACTCCCAACACGACTGATATCCCAATACCATCCAAGGTCATCCATAAGCGCAAGAACCATGTAATGTAGTGGTTAGAATGCAATATTGCAGACCGACTCTGCCCACTGCCAGGAGTTCGATCCCGAGGTGCTCAAGGTGGACTCAGCCTTCCATTCTTCCGAAGTCGACATTCAGACATTCAGACTCTGTAAACTGCTTAGAGAATCCTGTAAAGTACTATGAAGGAGCATCTAAGCCTAAATGCTACTGCTATTGCCATTCAGTAATGTCTCTGTGCTACAAGTTGGCCTGAAACCTACTGGAATCCATTATCCGCACAAATGTGTTCATTTTAAAGTTCTGAATAAGGGGCCAGTTTCTCCCTAGCTTCTATCCAAACAACTAGGATATGGCTAATAGCTAGCAGCCAACAGTGATTTAGACTCGCTCCTTCAAAAGACTTACAGAACACATTAGAAAAAGCTCTTCAGTTCTGTGCCATTATGAAAGAATCCTTTGAAGATGGTGCAAGGCAGAGAATTATACAGTGTGCTGCTTGACAGAAATCTATTTCTTCAAATCGCAGGCTTTTATTTAATCTGACTTTTTCCAAGGGGAAAAGCATGCCCAGGTGGGGTGGAAACTGCTTTTGTCTGCTTCTCTAAATTCAAGTGGCTGGGAGAACTTTCTGTGCAATTACGTTGAGAAAAATTCAGGGAAACGAAATGGGATCAGAGACAAGTGATGCGGATGAATATGGGACTAGAAAATATATCCTACAAAGAAAGACGGAGAAAAATTTAGTTTTGGGAAGCCAGGACAAAACTTCACACTCTCTACAAGCATCTGAAAAGATGTCACACAGAAGAACTGCTTTCTACTAAACCAGGGTAAAGGACACTAAATGGATTTAACTTAAAAGAAGGCTGGAGTTCAGCCAAATGTTTGGAGAAATAAAACTTCAAATGAAACTTCACCATGATGTTAAAAAGAGGTTGAGACTCTAGAGAGAATGCAGAGAAGAGCAACAAAGATGATTAGGGCACTGGAGGCTAGAACATATGAAGAACAGTTGCAGGAACTGGGTATGTCAGCTTTAAGGAAAAGAAGGACTAGGAGAGACATGATAGCAGTGTTCCAATATCTCAGAGGCTGCCACAAAGAAGAGGGAGTCAAGCTATTCTCCAAGGCAGAACAAGGAGCAATGGGTGGAAATTAATCAAGGAGAGAAGCAACCTAGAACTAAGAAGAAATTTCCTGACACACAATTCATCAACAACTTGCCCCAAGAAGTTGTCATTTCTCCAACACTGGAAGTTTTTAAGAAGATGTTGGATAACCATTTGTTTCAAATGGTATAATTTTTTCTGCCTGAGCAGGGAGTTGGACTAGACAATTTCCAAGATTCCTTCCAAATTCTATTCTATTCTATTCTATTCTATTCTATTCTATTCTATTCTATTCTATTCTAGCTTTGGATTCTTACAATAAGCAGTGAGTTGTACACAATAATCTTTCCAACTCTATAATTCTGGGGGTATATGTGGTATGTGTATGCTGCAGAATAATACTACGATA